AACTTCTTCTCCTTACTCAAGGCTCTATTCAGATAACAGACTTGCTACCATTCAGGGTCAGCCAGGATGGGTCACATGGGAGCAGAAAGCTGATGATGTATTTGCTACCTCAGGGCCTTTGCACAGGTTGGTCTCTTCCCAAATGCTCTTCTCCCAGCTCTTTGCATGGCTCCCTCCTACTACTCCTTCAGATTTCTGTGCAAACATCACCTCCTAGACAGGTTTTTCTAGCCACTTTATCCAAGATAGTCCCCCAAGCCCCTGACTCCAGTCCCTTTGTTTTATAATTTTCATGGCACTGATGAGGATTTGATATATCCTGTCATTATAATGATTCCTACCTGTATCCTCCCACAGACTGTGAGTCCCAAAAAGTGGGGAACGTGTCTGACCAATCCTCAGTGTGTCCCCAAGGCCCAGCCTGTGTTTATGAAAATGAAGGGAACTTTCCCTCTGTCTCCCTAGGTCTCTTGACCCCACCCTACTGTTAAATACCATTGACCCTAAGATTTCATCATAGCCCTTATTACGTTTTATAATCCCACATCAACTTATTGTTTATATATTCTCCTCTCCATCCAGGGAAGGAGTCCTATGAGGGCAGGGCTGGGGTTATCTCAGTCACTGCTATGTCCCCAGCCCTGCCCAGCACAGGGCCAGATATAGAACAGGCACTCGATAAATATTTATTGAATAGATGACATCAGAAATCACTCTCATTTGAAACCAAAGATCTGGGTCTCAGGCCACACAAGTCTTGTTCCTGACCAGAACCAGTGCGTGGACTGTATCTGTCCCCAATGCCATTTCCTACCTTCCCCCACCCTCACCCCCACCCCCGAACTCTCGCATGTGCTGGAGAAGCTACAGCACCTCCTTTATGGCCGCCCCAGCATTCCTGAGGTCCATCCCAAGATTCTACTTCCAGACAGAGGCCCAGACCCAGCCAACTGGGACCACTGCACAGTCACAATGTCAGGACTCTATCCCTGCCCTCCAAATCCCAGCAAACTTATAACAGACAGGGTGTCAGAATTTGGTGAGGATTCTGCACTTCCTTAGGCAGCACTGAATTTTGGAAGGCACAGGCTGAGGGACCTTATAAACAGTTCTCAGCATCTCTTGGGAACTTCCTAAAAATGCAAACTCTCATGGCCCATCCCCAGACCCACTGAATAAGAAACTCTACAGGTAGGACCTAACAGTCTGTTTAATAAGCCCTCTGGGTGATTTCAATGCACATGGTTTAAACACTATTATATAGACTGCCTAAAAATTATTATTAGCATTATTATTACACCTCTAACAGTTTACACTTATGGAGCCTTTACCATGTGCCACATACTCCTTTGCAACTTCACTGTTATCAACTTATTATATCCTCTCAATCTCCCTAAAAGGGAGGCACTAATGTTGTGCCCATTTTACAGATTAGGACAGCCGAGGCCCAAACAGGGTAAGCAACTCACAGACTTTCATACAGTGAGGGGGCAGTGGCACCAGCATGGCAAGGCCAGCTCTAAAGACCAAGATGGCAGTCTTTACCTTCTGCTATACCATGGGGAATCTCTACCCGGGGTCCTTCTTGCATAGTAAGTGATCACTTTTACCTGTGAAACTCCTAACAGTCCAGAAAGTACGGACACCTAGGGGGCCATCTCAAAGGGCAGGAAGGGACACAGCTCATCAAAGGTGGGCTGAAATAGACTTCTGCAAATCCCCCAGACAGAGGCATGCCAAATGCTGTCAACACAGGGGCTCCCCCCACCCCATCCCGCACGTACAGGTGGGCAGGGCTGCGGAGGGCTGCTCACCTGTGGTCCTGGAAACGCTCAGTGAGATCGAGGAGAGGTCATTAGACCCTAGGAAAGGGAGGCATGTCTCAGAGGGTGATGGGCAGCAAGACGAACAGGGAATTATCCAAGCCCCACCTAGTTCCTGTCCCTTGGGTCAGGCCCCTCCCCCTACCTGCAGAGTCGGGCCAAGTTTCCTTGCCAACTCTTGGACAGGTCCTGACCTTTCCTTTCTGCCATTCCTCACCCTTCATCACACCCAAGACCTGTCCGAGCCTCTTCCCCTTAAGGTGAGGCTCAGAGGACCCATTCTCTACCTGTTAGGAAATCCCCCACCCCCTTCCTTCTCTCAGAGCCGGACACGACCCCTTCACTTTTCCACCGTCACACCCGCCCCTTCTCTCTCGGGAGGCAGGCCCCGCCCCTCTTCATTCCCTGCTCCAGGCCCCGCCCTTCGTTTTCAGAACACGCCTTTCCCCACCGCTCCGCAGCCAGGCCCCGCCCCCTCGCCTCTCTGAGTCGGGTTCTGCTTCCTTCTTTGCGTTAAGCCCCGCCCCTTCCCGCCCTCACCACCAGGCCCCGCCCCATCCGTGGCGCGTCCTTTCCTCCCTCTCGGAGCCTAGCCCCGCCCCTATGCCCCTCAATAGCCGCTCCAGCTCCTCCTTCTCAGAGTCAAGCCCCACCCCTTCTCCCTCTGGAAGCCGGGCCCCGCCCCTTTCTCTGCCTCAGAGTGAGGCCCCGCCCCCTTCTCACTCTACAGCGGGACGCCTCGCCAGTACCTTGGGCCGGACCCTTCATTATCCTCTGCCTCCTTCCCTCTAATACAGTGTCCCACAACCCTCACATTCTCCCCGCGCAATACCTAGACTCTTGTAGGAACCCCCAGGTTGCTCCAGGACCCCCAGAACTCCCACATCTCCAGCCCCGCCCCAGACTCCTCTCCCGAACACCGGCTCCGCTTACCCAAGGCCCCCAGCTCCGGCGCAGCGGGCGGTCTGGCGACGCGGCGACTCGGCATGGCCCGGCCAGTGGGGACAGAAGGCCAGGAGGCCGGCCCAGACGCACGCGGACAGGCCGGACAACCGGGAGGCACAGTCTGGCAGGCGATCGCGGCTCGGGAGAGCGGCGCAGGGGCTGGGGCCGCAGGCCGGGCAAGACGCGCGGCGCCCGGGGTTGCGGGGGGCGCCGGGCCGGGCCGGGCGGGCGGCGGGAGGGGGCGGGGCGGCGGAATTCCCCGGCGCCGCCAGCCTGAGCGCCCATTGGTCTACACCCCCGTCGTGACGTCACGCCAGGGAAACGGGAAAACCCCCGAGCGTCACGTGGTCGTGGGGGCGGGGCCGACCGGGAAGGGGTGTCTGGGTGCTGTGGAGGGGCCAGGCAAGCGTCACTGCCCATTACCCTGGACAGCACAACTGAAACCTGCCTAGGGCCACTCACGCCTTGCCCATTGAGCAAGCCGGGAAACTGAGCCCCTGCCTATGTTTTCCTAGTAAGACTTGAGCGTGCTGTTTTTCAGGCTGGAAGGGAAGCTTCAGAAGTTGTGCTACTGAGAACATGTCATTGATAATAATGATCTTTATGAAATCCCCGAGGTTTCTTCAGCTGTAAATTAGGAATGAAGTTCACATAGTGAACGGCTAAAGCTGGAATGCCAGAATGTACATTTGTTTTGTTTCTTGTTGTATCTCCAATGCAGAACACAGTAGGGTAGGTGTCCAATATTTCTGAATGAATGGACGGATTTTGTATTTGTTCTTCCCCAAGGCCTCTCCAAAACACTTAGAAACGGCACAGAGTGCTTGGCACAGTGGTGCACGCCTGTAATCCCAGCAACTCTGCAGGCTGAGGCAGGAGGATGGCAAGTTTGGAACTCAGAAATTTAGAGAGACCCTGCCTCAAAGGCAGGGCAGCTGGGGGTGTTGCTTGGTGGTAGAGCCCCTGGATTCAATCCCAGTAGTAAATAAATAAATAAATGCACAGCGCTTTGAGTCCCAAGGCTAATAACTCAGTCTGGGAATGGTGACAGCAGGAGCCCTGCTGTACACATGGAGCAGTGTGCCCACAGTGCTTTGTACCTGGCAAGAGCACCAGGAGCATTTGCTAGAGTTAGGATTATTGCAGAGGAGACTGAGGCTCAAAGAGGGACCACACTTGGCTAGATTACATCCCTAAGCCTTCCATGTTCCTGAGAAAGTAACTATCAGGTTCAAACTCAGTTGCACCCCCAGACCTCAGAGCCAGAGTTTGATATCCTCCCTGTTTGCTTGTGAAAAATCTGGACGATCCAATTCTTCTCTTCATGACCCATGTGGACTAATTGATCCATTCAACATACACTTATTTAACTGGGCACAGTGATGCACACCTGTACTCCCAGCAGCTCAGGAGGCTGAGGCATGAGGATTGAAAGTTCAAAGCCAGCCTCAGCAACTTAGTGAGACCCTGTCTCAAGATGAAAAATAAAAAGGGCTGGGGATTTGGCTCAGTGGTTAGGCACCCCTGGGTTCAATCCCTGGTATGTGTTATTTAGCATGACCTGTGCGCTGTAACTTGCATGGGCGGTAGGGCACAGGGCTCAGAAGCTCAGGCCTTGTAGCTTTTCTTATACAGCAGTGATTCTCAAAAGTGTGGCCTCCAACCTTTCAGGTGATTGCTGGAGGGCCAAGTTGGAGAATTAATGCTATTGAGCAAACTTCATCTTGCAAAGGACCAGACAGCAAATGTGTTAGGCTTTAGGTTTTGAGGACCAGGTGGTCTCAACTGTCAATCTGCCATTGCACACAACCAGCCAACAGCAGTACAAAAGTAATGAGTGTAGCCAGGCATGGTGGGGCACAACTGTAATCTAGGGACTCCAGAGAATTCCAATTCAAGGTCAGCCTCAGCAACTTAGTAAAACCCTCTCTCAAAATAAAAATAAAAAGAACTGGGATATAGCTCAGCAATAAGGCACCGCTGGGTTCAACCCCCAGTTCCAAAAAAAAGAAAAAAGAAAAAGAAGTAATGAGTGTGGCTATGGGCTATGTTCCAACAACATTATTTTATGGATATCACAAGTGAAATTTCACTGGGAATGTAGCTCAGAGGCAAGACACTTGCCTAGCATGTATGAGGCCAGCGTTCAGTTTCCAGTACTGAAAAAAAAAGAAGTTATAAAATAATGAAATTTCATATAATTTTCACATAAAGCAATATATTCTTTCTTCCTGCCAGGTGGGTGATGTGCTGACATCATAACATGGCTGGCGAGAGGCACACCCCACAGTGGCATGAAACCAATTCTTACACTGTGAGCCACAAAAGGAGCATGAGAGATTCTTCTTTAGATTGTAACAATCACTTAAAAATGTAAAAATAATACAAAACTAGTGGGAAACTGAGCCCCCGCCTGGATTTGGCATGTAGGCCTTATAGAGGTTGTGCTTTGAGTACTGGAATCAGACTGACTGCGTTCAAATCCTAGACCTCAATTGCTGTGTGACTTCAGATAACTCATTTCATCTCTGAACTTGTTTCCCAGCTGTAGAGTGGGTCTTCAGTAGGACAGCTGTGGGAATTAAATATTGATAATATGCTGGATGTGGTGGCACATGCTTATATTCCCTCCTCCCTAGGCAGGAGGAGCCTAGGAATTTGAGGGTCAGTTGGAGCAATGTGTGACCCCATCTCAAAACAATCTATTCATCATTGTAACAGCAGTGGTAGACCCTTGGATGTAGCTCTTCCCCGTGACAGGTGTACCGTCCTAAACACTTGCATTGTGATGCTTGTATGACCCTGGACAAATTCCTTCATTTCTGCATTCTTTCATTTCTTCATTCCTTCATTTCTTCCTCATCTGCTAGATGAGGCTGAACAGCAAGCTTCACAGGATTGCTGCGAACGCTCCATTTACAGACTTATTACATTACACATGATGTGGGCACAGTGGTGCATGCCTGTACTCCCCGCTACTTGGAAGGCTGAAACAGGAGGATTGCAAGTTCAAGGTCAGCCTGGTCAATTTACCAAGACCCTGTCTCAAAATAAAAAGGGGCTGCAGATACAGCTCAGTGGTAGAGCACTGCTGGGTTCAATCCCCAGGGGTGGGAAAAAAGTGTCACACTCTATTCAACAGTGCCAGGCACTGTTCTAAAAGCTGGGGACATAACAAGGAACCCACAGACAAAAGCCCTTGCCATCAAGGAGCCAAAATCCAAGAGAGACGTAAAATAGATAAATAACTACACATCTGGTGGTGATGCTACTGTAGAAGAGCAGTAAATATGAATAGAATTGGGGGACACTGGGAGGGTCTGAGGTGACATTTGAGTAGAGATCTGAAGGTGAGGGATCCATCCATGTGGATAACTGGGGGGAACATGTTCAGGGTACAGGGAAGAAGTGCAAAGGCCCTGAGGTAGGGAAATGTGTAGCTTAAGAGCAGTGAGGAAGGGGAAGCTGGGCAGCGGGGCTGCCTGGGCCACGTGGGAGGCCCTCAGCAATCAAGCAAGATCCTGTCTCAAAAAATGAAAAGGGCTGGGGATGTGGCTCAGGGGTTAAGCACCCCTGGGTTTAATCCCTGGTACCATAACACCAAGAGTGGAGAGGAAACTAGAGCAGTGGCTGAGGGAAGAGGTAGAGACTGGGCCAGCACGACCGGCTGGCAAGGCAGTGGGGACACGGAGTGACATTCAGTTCAATGGGTAAAGCAAACCACATTAGGTGCTTAGACTACAGCCTGGCTCCTGAGGACCGACAAACAGCGGCTCCTACTATGTCAGGCCCATGAGCCCACCAGATTCCCCTCTGCTTCTTGTCAGGACTCATGCTTGTTGAATGAACAACTGAATGCATGCCCTGAGGATTTCTGCAGGCGTGCATCCACAGGGTAGGCAGCACTATTTTGGTCCCAGCACAGGGGGAGGGCCTTGGGGAGCATTTGTGGACTGTGTCCGTGTGTCACAGTGGCTGTGGCTGTGGCAGTGAATGTGCACAGGGAGCCGGCAGTCCACAGTCCTGGCTGTGTGCTCGCAGGTCTTGGTCGGGTGGAGGAGACTGACCCATCACCCCAGTGATGTCCCTGACGGGCAGGGCTGCCACCAGAGCCTAGATAGAGGACTTGGGGCTCAGGGAGGGCATCCTGGAGGTGGCGGCGCCCAAGCTGCAACCTGGAGGGTGCCCGGGGCATGAAGCTTTGAGCCGGGGTGTGTTCTAGGCAGGGAATGGCAAGCTAAGGAGCCCGGCAGAGCAGCCGTGCTGTGGAGCCATGGCCTGACATAGAGTGGGGCAGGGAATGAGGCAGATCTAGGCTACCTGAGGGACAGAGCCGCCCACAGTGCCACACACGGGGCTCAGTGAGCGCGGACACCTCCCAGGTGCTCCCCCCCGCCAGGCTCTGCAGACTGGGAGGCAAGGAGAGCCTACAGCGTGGCCCTCAGCCCGGCCTCCTCTGAGCTAAGAGACCAACCCTCCCCCAAATGCAGGTGACCGGGGTCCAACCCCCTCCAGGGTGCAGGAGCCCAGCCACCTCACTTCCAGCAAAGTCCCAGCTCGTGACACTGCAGAGGCGGCACAAGCATCACACCCAGGAGCGGAGCGGGTCCTCGGCACGCAGCCTCCCACGCCTGGTGCTGCAGCAGTTGGGGTGCTGCTCCCTGCCACAGCTGAGGTGAGCGGCAGCACATCAGGTGCATGTCATGACACGTCACACTGCGAGCAGGAAACCTGAGCATAGCGTCCCTCCCAGCAGCTGCCGTGAGGCCTCCTGTGGGCAGCGCTCCTGGCCCTGCCTCGTGGTGGGGTGGGGGCTGGCCCACCATGGGCAGCTTCCCAGGAGTCTGTGAGACAGTTTCAGAAGCCCCTCGAGGGCAGTGGGAGGGGAGAGTGAGAGAGGGGCCTGGTCCCGAGGCGCGACTCCCTGGGGCCACTATTCCCCCCATTCTGCACCCTCCACCAGGCAGGTCTCCCTCCGGAAGCCAGGAGAGCCCCAGGCCCCAGGAGAGAGGCTCTGCGGGGCAGAGGAAGGCAGGCAGGGAGGGGCGGCTGAGCTTAAGTTAAACACCCACATGAATTTATTAAATCCAGACTGTGTTAAGGGTGGCGATCTGGGAGGAGGGGGTGGTCGGACGAGGGACAAGACAATGGATGACTGCGGGCGTCCCACAGAGGGGCCCCGGCCCCTCCCCACCTGGCCCCCCTCGGCAGCGCTGCATCGGCTTCACCATGATTCCCAGCAGGGCTGGGCTGGCAGGGCGAGATGGCTGGAAACAGGACAGACAGACAGACGGCGCCTCCACAACAACGAGCCCAGCCCGCCCCGGCCCCGTGTCACACGCTGGGCCCTGGCCCAAGGGGGCCTCCTGCCGCCTGCCCGATCTGTCCAGGGAGAGGGCGACAGGAAGGGGCGGCAGGGGCCAGGTTGGCAGGGGTGGTGGTCGCCAGGAACCGGAGTGGACGAGGAGGACCAGTAGGGCTAATCCTTTTTCTTGTCCTCTGCTGGCTTTGGAGGGGCGTCCTGGGGCTCAGTGGCGGGGCTGGCCCCCAGACTGGGCTGGGTAGGCAGGGACGCGGGGGCCTCCTCCCTGGCAGCAGTGGCTGTGGGGGCTGATGGTGCGAGGGCCCCTGCTGCCGTGGGGGCCTGGGCCACGGGGGCAGCGGCTGCGGGGTCCTCGCCACTCATGCCGAACTCATTCACACGGGTGGGGTCGACGCGGTAGATCCACCGTTGGTAGAGGTAGATGAAGAAGACCACGTCTGCGGACGGCAACAGGGACAGGGTCCTCAGGCCTGGGCTCGCCGGCATGCCAGCCTCAGCCCAGGGCCGTCACCCCCCCGACCCGGGGCCTGAACCCCATCCCCAGGCCTCACCGTCCCGTAGGCAGCCGATCCGGTACATGACGGGCATCTTGATGACAAAGGCGAACAGGTCATCGATGAAAGTGTTCAGGGCCTTGTAGGTGAGCATGCGCCACGGCAGGTGGGCCACGGACTTGAGCTTGTAGTTGATGAAGAGCTGGGGTGTCATGGTGATGAAGCCTGTGTGAGAGCGGAAGGCACCCTGAGTGCAGGGACGCGGGTGCTCCTGGCCTTGGAGTGCTCCACGGCCCCGGCGTCCAGCCCCACTGGCCTCCTCGCCACCCACAACCCCACCGCATCCCCGCCTTGGGGCATTTGCATGTCCTCTGCCCTCTGCCGTGAGATCTTTGTAGGGTCCCCTCCCTGGCACTGTTTAGCCCCGGTTTGGACACCGTCCCTAGAGGGGCCTCCCCAGTTCCCTCTAAGTGGCACCCGCGGCCTGCCCTCCTCACCACAAATGGGGCCAGGGCGCCCCTAGGCCCCCACATCCCACCTCTCTACCCTGGGTACCGCTCTGTGGGACAGGTCTGCCTCCCCTAATGATGGCCAAGCCTGGGGAGAGTAGGCCCAACCGACTCGATCCCCACTGTGTTCTGGTACTGCCCAGAGAGGGCCTGGGATTGTCCACCAGCGAGGCCCTGCCCTGTCGGCGCGGCTCACCAAAGGTCAGCAGGAAGCCGTAGAGCATGCTCAGCACCCAGGAGTACCAGCCCTTGTGCTCCAGGTACAGGAGGCTGTAGACGGCGTAGCAGCCCAAAAGCGGGAAGAGGATCCATGACAGGTACCGGAAGGCCATCTGTGGGGTCACAGGCAGGGCTGTGGCTGGCTCTGAGGGCCCCACCTAGCACCCTTGTTCCCAACCCACACCTGGCCTGGCAAGTTGGGCTGGGGGAATTTCCAGGTAGCCCTGGGAACTCTGGACTTGGCCAGGAAGTAGATACGGCAGGCAGGGGACACAGGGTGTGGCATAGGCCCTAAAGTGTGGGCTCAGCAGCTGGCAGGCTGATGGTTCAGTCCCCGCTCCTCAGGAGTATAACTGCTTGGACACTGTTCACTAGGGCTGCGGGGGACACTCACGTCGTCGTACACCTTGGTAGAGGACTCGATGTACGTGGACTTGTCTTTGAAGGTCGGGCAGGGGAAGATCCCTGCCACCCTGTGCTCCCGGTCCAGCTGCACACAGGAAAGAAGTGGTGTCAGTTGTGGCCCTGGCCCCTGCGACCCCTAAGCCAGAACCAGACCATGCCCTCCCCACTGTTCCCAGTTCCCCTGGCCGACATATGACCCAAAAAAATCCCCTGGTGTGAAAATCCCCTTGTCCTGGAGTGCAGCAGCATCGGGAAAGCCCCAGAGGCCAGCTCCAGGCCCCGGCTGGGAGGAGGCCCCCGCCCCTGACCGGCCCCGACGTACCCGGACGTCCATGACCTTGGTGATCTTCCACAGGTCGATGAGAACCCCGATGAAGACGC